TTCTCACATCGCCCACGCGGAGCTGGAACTGTGCTTGAGCAGCGTGTGGACGCCAAGCCCCTCTAAACAATTTGTCACAGAGTCCTCTTCCTGCCTCCCCATGGGGGCTGCTGGCTGGCGGCCACAGCGCTCACTCACCCCAGTCCCAGGAGGGCTCATTCTGGAACTTTCTGGCAATAACTCCCTGAGCATCTGAAGCCCCCAGCCCCCGTTCGGGCGGTAGCAAGGGGTAGATAAATGCAGCGAGAACCTGGGGACCCCTGTCCTCTCCTCAGATCCTGCTACGCCCCCCCTGCCCCCCATGAGCTGGGTCACGCCGTGTCCAGGGCACCTCTCCGTGGGTGTCACGTGAGGACATCTGTGCTCGCCTGCTCTCCACCAGCTGGGGAGGTGGTCTACACTCTCACCATATCTGTGAGGGTCGCATCCCCTCCCCCTACTACTGAGGAGAAGCAGATGGCGAGAAGGCATGGCATGTCGCAGGTACTGGAGTGTGTGGGCTTGCTGGATACTGGACAGATGAGTGACCAGCGGCTACACAGCCACCCTCTCCGAACCCAGATAAACCCCACTGTGCAGGGGTGCGGGGGGATGGGCGGGGAAGTCGGGCTCAGAGAGGTTGATACTGACCACAGCCAGCTCGCGGACTAGGACACCACACCAGGCCAGGTTTGGTTCTCGCTGCCTCCACCCTGGTAGCCTAGCTGGGACCGGAACCCAGGCCCCCAGCCTTGCTCCTCCCCAGAGCACTGTGCGGGCGTGTGCAGTGCTCCCTCACTCATCCCCAGCTCTCTCTGTCTACAAGAACAGACGTGGGGCTGGGGGGCAACGGCTATTCGCCCCCCTTCTCCCTGCCGTCCTGGTGCTGGCCAGCAAAAGCTGGGGAGGGGGTGCGGGGGTGGGGGGGGGGCTCTCTCCCAGCCCACAGCGCCCCCTCCTGCCTCCCCTGGGAAGCGCACTGCTACCGACCCTCCCCGGCCCTCTGCCCCCACGGCGCCCACGCGCACGTGCGGCGTGGCAGGGAGGTGCCAGGCCCCAGAGCTCCAAACTCCTGTCGGAGACGCCACCGAGCGAGCGGGGGGCTGAGGGCTGGGCCGGGCCTCCACTCGTGTGCGGGGCCCCGGCCCCTCCCGGGAAACAAGGCTGGGATTAATAAGCGCCCGCTCCCTCCCCCTAATGGGCTCCAGCTGCACAAACATTCCCAGAATTCAGAGCCGGCTCTGTCTGGGGCGCCCAGGCCTCAGTCCCAGCGTTCCCGGCCCCTCCCCCCGCCTGGACAGCTGCTCCGGAACTCAGGCAACTGGCTGGGGATCGAGTCCCAACTCGGCTCGTCCAGGGGCGGGGGCACTGGGAGAGGGTGTGGGGGGCTGCGGTGGAAGGGGAGGGGGGATGCAGGGGGACAGAAAGCCCCACGGACGCCCCAGCTCCTCCGCCCCGCCCCCGCACACTGCCCACTGTCACCGATCTGGGAGGTGAGAGAAGGTGCCCACCCCCCGCCCCACCAAGCGGGGTCAGGGTGGAATGTGGGGTCTGGCAGGCGCTTCCTTCGAGCAGATTCTAGGAGCCGGGCGGTGAGGGGTGCTGGACACAGTCCTGGCAGGTCCTTGCTCTCGCTTGGTCCAGCAGAGAGGGACTTTAAGGGCCTGGGGCTGGAATCCTCAGTGGACAGGCGCTGAGGATGACAGGCCTGAGCCCGGCTTCTCTGTGCCTGAGCCCGGCTTCTCTGTGTGGATGGGTCCTTTCATGGCCGTTGCCCAGTACCCACCAGCTGGCCCTGTTTGTGGGAGCGAGGGCTGTGACGAAGGTCTGCTCTGGGGTCCACGGAAGCCCCCCACACGCCCCCTATGCACCTCATTCAGAGACTCAGTGGTACAGTCCCCAGTGAGCGTGTCTTCAGTGGACGTGTCCCCGCCAGCCAGAGGGACAATGTAGAAGGGGGCAGGGCAGGAGAGACTCCAGGCAGCTGCGTGGACAGGGGGAAGCCCACCCACTGCATTCGGATTTGGCCTCTTAGCCCTGCAATGTGTGGGGAGGGGAGGGACAGGGATAGGCCCTTTCCCTGCCCAGGGCCTTGATTCTCTAATATTTTTATTTTTATTTTTGGCTTTTTGGGTCATTACTCCTAGCTCTGCACTCAGGAATTACTCCTGGTGGTGCTCAGGGGACCATATAGGATGCCAGGGATCGAACCCGGGTTTAGCCGCATGCCAGGAAAATGCCCTCTCCGCTGTACTATCATTCTGGCTATCACTATCATTCCAGTGAATCTCTAATCTTTTTTTTTTTCTTTTTGGGTCACACCCGGCGATGCACAGTAGTTATTCCTGGCTCTGCACTCAGGAATTCCTCCTGGTGGTGTTGCTCAGGGGACCATATGGGATGCTGGGAATTGAAGCCGGGTCGGCCATGTGCAAGGCAAATGCCCTCCCCCCTGTGCTATTGTTCCAGCCCTGATTCTCTAATATTGACTAGGAGAAGATCAGACTAGAGCAGAGCTTCCTAAACTTACTTTTCAGAAAACCAAAAATCGCTCCGTGCCTGTTCTCGAAATGGACCTTCTTCCAGCCAATGGAATGTACCCCTAGAGGGACCCCCAGAAGGACCCCCCGGTCGCACCTGAGGCCACTCCTGCCACCTGGATTATTCCATTGCCTGTCCTGGCACCCCCCCCATACATACTCACCTGGGAGTATTGGTCACTTTGGGGAACACTGGTCTCGTCTCCCCGTTTTCTGTCCCACTGTACCCAGGAAGGGCTTAGGGCACTGGCAAAGGCTCTAGCACTCAGTGCTCAGGTGAGGCAGGCAGTGGGCACTGTGCTCTGAGGGTGACTTCTGGCTCTCTGGGGGTGTGGGGAGGGAGAGTGGACACAGGCCTGGGCACCCCCTCCTGTGGGGAGGTCAAGTTCCCTAGCCATGGAGAATGGTAGGTGACCTCACAGCAGAGCTCTGGGAAGCGCAGAAGAGCAGAAAACTGGGGTCTTCACCTTCACCCCTTCCCAGCACCCAGCAAATGCCCACTCTGCCCTGCAGGAAGCAGGCAGACCTCTCCAGGTCTCGGTCCCTGTCCATCACCTGTCCCGTAAGTCACTGTTACCCTCCAGGCTCCACACAACTCAACCCCAGCCTCGGGACCAAGTCCTGAGAGGGAGCGACAGTCATGTGACTGACATCCTCAGGGCTCTCCTGGTGAGGGTGGGGACTGTAGACTCTGGGACAGGAACCCGTTAAGGGACGCTCCAGGGGCCAGTACAGCGGGGAGGGCATATTTGCCTTGCACACGGCCCACCCAGTTCCATCCCCAGCATCCCATACAGTCCCCCCAAGCCCGCCAGAAGTGGTTCTTGAGTGCTGCAGGGTGTGGTCCCAAGACAGAAATCAAAATCAGACTTACAACAGACGAAGCCAACCAGGTCCTCACCGTGTCACTCTCCCACTGGAGCCGCCAGTGGAATTTGCAAAGGTCCTGGGACCCGCCTGAACCAGCCCTGCAGCCTTCTCTCCCCGTTTCCACTCCAGAATCTGGAGCGGAACGTCTTTGAACTCTCGGAGGTCCCTTGGAAGCACCTTCCCCTCCCGCCTGGCCCCCTCACTGCTCACCACATTTTCTTCACCCTTCAAGTCTTGGCTTAAATGTCGTTTCTTCCAGAAATATTGTTTCATCCTTCTGTGACCCCTAGAGTTGGGGGTTGATTTCTTTGAATTTCCACAGTTGGCCTAGGTTTGGGGGAGATAGTACAGGAGTGGGGCTTGAGCCCCACTTGAAGTGCTTGAGAGCCTGATTTGATTTCAGCACCACAATGCCTCCCCCCCCCCCCACACACACACACTGAATTTTGCTGGGTATAATCCTGGAGGCCCCTGAGTACCATTAGGTGTGGCCTTAGTGATTTGCAGTCACGGCTGGGGTGACCCTGGTGGTCCCCAGTTCTGCTGGGTATGAGCATCACTACCACTCTGGGCCCCCAAATTCACCCACTTATCCTTGTTGACCACTCTACAGAGTGGTCCCCGGGGGGAATCCCTGGGCCCTGCTTGGGTGTCTCTCACCCAAATTAAAATGAATGGGAGAATGTTTTTTTTTCTTTTTGGATCATACCCAGCGATGCTCTGGGGTCATTCCTGGCTCTGCACTCAGGGCTTGCTCCTGGTGGTGCTGAGGGGACCATATGGGATGCCAGGGATCAAACCCAGGTCAGCCACATGCAAAGCAAATGCCCTACCTGCTGTACTATCACTCTGGCCCGAGAATGGGATTTTTTTTTGTTTGCTTGTTTGGTTTGGCTTTGGGGGCCACTTCCAGTAGTGCTTAGGGCTTCCTCCTGGCTCTGTGCTCAGAGATCACTCTTGGCAGTGCTCCGGGGACCATACGGGGTACTGTCAGATTAAATCCTGGTTGGCTACATGCAAGGCAAGTGCACTGCCACTGCTCTGTCACTCCTCCCGCCCCCCCTATAGGAGGATGAACAGAGGAAGAGAAGTGAGTTGTTTAACAGTTCAAAAAGCTAAGACCATCGAGAGGATTCAGCCACGTAACCAGATTGCATTGATATTAGGTATAAAAGAGAACAAAAAAGATCCATGTCTAGAAGGTCTGAAAGAGGGGAAATTATTACAGAAATGAGAAGTGGTTCCTTCCAGGGCTGTACCTGCTGGGAGGTGGCAGGGTGGAAACACCTGCTGTGTCCACGGAAGTAGCCCACGAGTGTAGACTCATGTGTAAGTTCATGAATCTGGACTGAAAGTTAAAGTGCACTTTATGTTCTATTTCAGGAAAGTAGAACAGGGTGGAGCAACAGAACAGTGGGGAGGGCATTCGCCTTGCACACGGCTGACTCGAGTTTGATCCTCAGCAAACCTAGAGTCTCCTGAGCCTACCAGGAGTAAGCCCTGAGCACAGCAGGGTGTGACCCAATAAACAAAAAAATTTAAAAAATAAAAAGTTGAACTAGAAGGAAGGAAGCAAGAAAGGAATTATGTGGCCCAAAATTCTGGTAAACTGTGCTCACTTCAGCAGCACATATACTAAAATTGGAATGATACAGAGAAGATCAGCATGGCTCCACACAAGGATAACATGCAAATTTATGAAGCGTTCCATAAAAAAATTAATTAAATTAAAAAAAATCTGTTGTGGGGCTGGAGAGATAGCACAGCGGGTAGGGCATTTGCCTTGCACGTGGCCAACCTGAGTTCGATTCCCAGCATCCCCTGTGGTCCCCTGAGCACCGCCAGGAGGAGTAATTTCTGAGTGCAGAGCCAAGAATAACCCCTGTGCATTGCCAGGTGTGACCCAAAGAAGAAAAAAAAAATCTGGTGAACTGCCTAGTTGGTAATAGTGATAAAATAGTTAGAATCTAGGACTGATGATCTGACTATAAAATTGGGATCTTTGCAGAAAAAGGTGTGTGTGAGTGTATGTGTGAGTGTGAGTGTGTGAGTGTGAGTTTGTGTGGGGGGACTGTGTGTGTGAGTGTATATGCGAGTGTGAGTGTGAGTGGGGAGGGGAGTGTGTGTGTGAGTGTGAGTGTATGAGTGTGGGTGTGTGTGGAGGGAGTGGGTGTGTGAGTATATGTGTGAGCATGAGTGTATATGTGAGTGTGAGTGTGTGAGTGAGAGTGTGTGAGTGGAGGGGTGCACATACCTGTGCATGTGTGTGCATTTGTGCATGCAGGAGAGAGTGGCAGCTGGCTACCACTAAAAGCAAGAAGCAACCCGAGGGATGGCTCAAAGGGCTGGCATGCAGGCGTTGGACCTGAGAGACCTGGGTTTGATCCCCAGAACCACACGTTCCCCAGAATACTGCTGGGTGTGCCTCTCTCCAAACAGAAAGACAACAGGAGGACAGTGATGCCAAGGACAAGGACGAGGACGCTGCAGTCCCCTGCCCAAAGCCTGCTGTGCCCTTGAGAGCCATAGCAGGAAACCCGGGCTCCTCCTCCTGCCTTTGCACCCTGCCCTCACTGCCCTCTAGACAACTCTGTGACCTCCTGCCCTCTGTTCCCACGTCCACGCACGACTCCCTGCTTGTCCTCCTTACTTGGGTGGGTGTACCTGCCTCCTCAGAGATCTGTTACCGTTGTTCTTTGCTGGTGGGACCTAGACTCACCTTCAGAGGATTTGCTGCTCTTTTTTTTTTTTTGAGGTGGGGGTGGCAATGTGGAGGGGTGTGTGGGCCACACCCAGCGATGCTCAGAGCTTACTCTGCACTCAGGGCTCATTCCGGCTGGCTCAGGGGACCATATTCAGTCCCAGGGCTAGAACTGGGCCCGCTACATGCAGGCTCTTGCCTCTGTGCTCTCTCTCTGGACCTCCTCCATCCTTCTTTAAGCAGATGCCGTATCTCTTGCCTCTTGAATATCACTGAGATCTGTGGATATTTCTGTCCCCATCTAGAAGGGAAGCACTGTCAAAGGAAAGGGTGTCAGTGCTCAAACTCAGAGCTGGAGTGTCAGCTGGATTTTGTTTGTTTGTTTGCTTGTTTTGTTTTGGGATCACACCACAGTGCTCAGAGCTTACTCCTGACTCTGTGCTCAGGGTTCACTCCTGGTCATGCTCAGGGAGCCTTGGGCGGGGGACAGGTTCCAGGGATCAAATGGCAGTCAGCCTTGTGTAAGACAAGCACCTTCACCCCTGAGCCCCATCTAGTACTCAACTCTTTGTTTTGGGTGGTTTTTTTTTTTTTTTTGTTGTTGTTGTTGTTTTCGTGGGGGCTAGGGGGGACGCACAAAAGTACTTAGTGCATACTCCTGGCTCTATTCAGGGATCATTCCAGGCGGGGTTTGGAGGACCATATGGGATGCCGGGGATTGTACCCTGGTCAACCATGTGCAAGGGAAGTGCTCCCCCACCCCCATGCCCCCACGCCCCTGCAGTACTATCGCTTGGCCCCAGGTGCCAAACTCTTAGTGAACATCAGAGCCACATTCCCAGTGGCTGGGAGACTTCCTCCTCAGAGCCGCTCTGTGCAGAGCTGTGCCGCTTCACTCCGGAGGCAGAGCTAACGCTTCCCACTGTCCCATGTGCTCCCCAGGAGCATCCACCCTCTATCCTTGGAGAGGCACAAGACTGCCTGGCCGGTGAGTCGTGAGTAGAGATGCTAAACCCACTCTCTACCATTTTCTCGACTTCCTCCAGAGGTGGTTTTATTGTTTGTTTTGTTTTCTTTCTTTTTCCTTTGTTATTTTTTTTCTTTTTGCCTTTTTGGGTCACACCTGGCAATGCTCAGGGGTTCCTCCTGGCTCTGCTCTCAGGAATCACTCCTGGAGATGCTCAGGGGACCATATGGGATGCAGCGGATTGAATTTAGGTCTGCCACGTGCAAGGCAAACGCCCTCCCCACTGTACTATATGGTTCCAGCCCCAGAGTTCTTTTTCTAAAACAAAAATTGGATCACGGTACTCATTGACTTAAAGTCTCTTTCCACACTTCATTTCCTATATCGCAAAAGCCAAACCCTGGGTCAGAGATACAACTTCACAGCTTGGAGCACAGGCTTTGTATGCAAGAGATCTGAGTTCAGTACAAGGCACTACGCAGTCCCCCCAAGCACCACCAGGATCTAACTGACAAGCACAGAGCCAGGAGTAGCTCTGGAGCACCAATAGATGTGACCCCAAAATTAACAACAGAGCCCAAAGCTACAACTGGCACCGATTACCTTTTTTCTTTTTCTAACTTTTTGGGTCACACCCGGCAATGGCCAGGGCTTATTCCTGCCCTGCACTCAGGAATTACACTTGGTAGTGCTCAGGAGACCAGAGGGGATACCAGGGATCGAATCCTGGTCAACCGCATGCAAAGCAAACACCCTACCTGCTGTGCTATTGCTCTGGCCCCGCCAATGACCATTTTTTAAAAAGAATTTGAACGGACTCAAGAGACAGTACAAGGGTAAGGCAATTGCCTTGCTTTCAGGCAGCCCCAGTTCAATCTGTGGCATCTATTATGTACCTCCAAGCACTGCCAGGTGTCACTCTGAACACAGAGCCAGAAATAGCCATAAGCACCATTGGATATGGCCCCAAGCCCTCCCTCCCAATGAAATGAAAGTTTCAAAAGCTTGAACTCTAGTGTCAGTCTGCCCAGATAAGTTGTTATAAGAAAAAAGCCACACTCAGGATCATTCTTGGGCACATATGCTACCCGAGCCCATGTGTTGCTTGCTTGTGCCCGTGTGGCTGAGCGCATGTGGTACCCGCATCTGCCCTGTTGAGATGTGGACTTTCATATCTAATGCTGGGATGTATGTCGGGGCTCTCTCCACCTGCATTCTCTCTCTCTCTCTCTCTCTCTCTCTCTCTCTCTCTCTCTCTCTCTCCTTCCCCTTCCTAAAAACCTCCAAATAAAATGTTTTACTTAATAAATAAATAAAAGGATCACTTCTGGAAGTAGTGCTGAGGATGGTGGACCCTGGGGTTGGGTGCATGCTAGACAAGTGTCTTAGCTGCTGTACTATCTGTCCTAATAGTTTTGTTTTGGGGACTAGAGAGAGAGTTCAAAGAGTTGAGCACATGGTCTGCATATGTGAGACCCAGGTTCGATCCCCTGCATTGCATGGTCCCCTGAGCACCACTAAGAGTGGCCCCCAAGCACTGGGCCAGGAATAGGCCCTGAGCACTGCCAGATATGACACAAAACTGTAGCACTGTCCTCCCGTTGTTCATCGATTTGCTCGAGCGGGCCCAGTCACGTCTCCATTGTGAGACTTGTTGTTACTGTGTTTGATATATTGAATAGGCCACGGGTAGTTTGCCAGGCTTTGCCGTGTGGGCAAGATACTCTCGGTAGTTTGCCGGGCTCTCTGAGAGGGGCGGAGGAATCAAACCGGCTGCGCGCAGGACAAACGCCTTACTGCTGTGCTATCACTCCAGCCCGACACAAAACTAAAATATATATATATATTTTCATTTATTTAAGATATTGATTATTGTTGTATAACCACATACCCCAAAGTTAGTAGTTTAAAAGAAGGACCACTGGACTGAGTGATAGTACAATGGGTGGGGAGCTTGCTTTGCACACAGCTGATCTGGGTTTAATCCCCAGCACTGTATACTGCTGCCAAGAGTGATCTCTGAGTGCAGAGCCAGGAGTAAACCTTGAGTACCTTTGGGTGTGGCCCCCAAACTAACAGAAAAACATTTTTAATAAATAATGAACTGGAGCGATAGTACAGCGGATAGGGTGCTTCCTTTGCATGTGACTGACCTGGGTTAATCCCCGTATGGTCCCCGGAGCACCACCAGGAGTAATCCCTGAGTGCAGAGTCAGGGGTAAGCCCTGAGCATTTGAGCATTGCCAGGTGTGACACAAAAAGCAAAAAAGAAAAAATAAAGAAAAGAACAACCACCTTAGTTCTATCTCAGTATTTTATGGGTCAGGAATTTGGGCAAGGCTCAGCAGGGTGATTCTTCTGTTCCACTGTGTTGAGGACACACAGAGACCCACCCCCCAGCTGGTGGGCAGGCCGGTCTGGAAGTTGTGGGTTGGTTGGCATGTGTCTGATGTGCCCTTGAGGCTGGCTAAAAGACTGGGCTCAGGGTTATTAACCAGAACACTGTCGCATGACCTCTGAAGCATGGTGACCTCAGGAGAGCGTGACCACTGACATGGCCGTCCAGGCAGCTCAGTGATTGAGGGGTTCCATGGGCCAGAGTGCACGCTTGGTAAGCAAGAGACCCAGGTTCAATCCCTGGACCACCTGGTCCCCCTGGCACCACCAGGACCAATCCCTTAGCTCAAAGCCAGAAATTGCCCCTGACCACTCTTAGATGTAGTCCCCAAAGAAGAATATATATATATATATACACACACACACATATATATACACATATATATATTCAATATATATATTTTAAATATTTTGCTTTTTGGGTCACACCCAGCGATGAACAGGGGTTACCTGGCTCTTCACTCAAGAATGACTCCTGGTGGTGCTGGGGGATCCTATGGGATGCCAGGGGTTGAATTCGGGTCAGCTGCATGCAAGGCAAATGCCCTACCTACTGTGTATCACTCGGGCCCCAACAATAATTATTAAAAAAAAAATTGCAGCAGTCAAAGAGATAGTAGAGAGAGTGAAATATTTGTCTTGGTCCCCTGAG